TTTTTTTTTTTTTTTTTTCCTGTACCAGGGATTGAACTTGGGTTCTTGTGCTTGTGAGGCAGGCGGCAGCATCACCGAGCTAAAACCCCAGCCCTGCCCCACAGTTCTTTGAGCAAGCCAGGGGATGTCTTGAGATAAACATTTAATTTGTATTGCATGTTTCCAACTCAGACAAATACACCACTGTTTATGCATAAAGATTAACTCTATTTGTTCTATTTGTCACAGTGCACTGGTTACCTACTATGTACCAGACATACATACTTTTGTCTCATTCAATACTTACAACAACCCTGCAAAGAAGGGTTACCCTTATCTTTCAATTGAGAAAACAGATTCTCAAGAAATTAACTATTAACTTTGCTAATCAGCTCTCTTCATTATGCTACAAAGCCACCACTCTGGGGAAAAATGTGAATCAAAAAGCCTCTGGCTTCAGTCTAGGATCTAAATCCTTCCTGGAACTAGGAAGACTATGGTACAGAAATGAACTCCTTCAGGTTTGTTATCTATAGATTCTACCAATTTCCTCAACCTCATGTTAGCATCCACAGTACTCACCTCTGGGGAGCTGTCTCTAGTCTTAAAATGCTGAACCACATTTCTCAGTAGAGGAGTTCTATAGCACCATCTACAAAGCCCACTGGGAAAAAGAATGAGTAGGGGAGGAGTCAGTAAACCCAAGATAAGCTTCCACCCTTATATGATACAAAACAGCTGTCAGCAGGCAGCTCAAAGGAAGCCCCAAACAAAGCTGAGAGAAATAAAGCCAAGATGGAAGAGAAAAAGCACCACTCTACCAGAGTGAAGGAAATGCCAGGGAGCAGAGATGCAAGTAAAAAGTCTGATTTCTGAGGCTCCTGTTCCACCTGAAGAATAACCTTCCCTGTCACAGGAGGAGTTCTTTCTGCTTTGCACTGCTAGATCTACTGGTTAGGCTCCCAGTGGCCCCATGGGGCTGGTAAACACTGCTTTAGGTAGAGTCTCTCAGCTCTGAGACTGTGCTAGAGATATGCCCATAATGTTGCCTGGGCAGTTGTTCCCAAGTTTTCAGCCTTCACAGACCAATAAAAAAAAATGTGGAGGGCCAGGGATTTAGCTCTGAGGTTCCGGCACTTGCCTTGCAAGCGCAAGGACCCAAGTTCGATCCCTGACACCAAAACAAACAAACAAACAAAAATGTCTAGTGAGCCATTTTGTATTATACCAAGGAAAAAATGTTTTAAATTTTCATCTTTCTATATACCTCTTCACTTCATAAAAGAAAGTACATTTTATTGATCCCTGGATCCGCAAAAAAAACAAACAAAAAAAAAAAAGGAAGAAAAGGGCTAAAGGGGTAGGGAAGGGGGGATGGGTAGGGGAAGGGGAATAAAGGATGAAAAAAAAAAAAAAAAAAAAAAAAAAGGAAGAAAAGGGCTAAAGGTGTAGGGAAGGTGGGATGGGTAGGGGAAGGGTAATAAAGGAAATGAAAAAAAAAGTGAGAAAACGAAAAGATGGAGATAGAGTATTTGTAAATGGGGAGGGGAGGGGGGGTGAAGGGAGAGCAGGGACAAGGGGAAAAAATGAGAACCAAGGCCTGTCATGTAGAGGTACAAGATCCCAATAATGAATGTAACTGTACTGTATACCTAGAATGCACCAGTAAACTTAATAAAAAAAGAAAGAAAGCACATTTTAAATACTGAGAAGCAGAAAATATTTCTCTTCAGAACAAAGTACTACTCTTTAAGTCAACAAAAGTTAGCTTTAAGAAAAAACTCAGGGCCGGGGATTTAGCTCAGTGGTTCCGCCACCTTGCAAGGACCCTAGTTAGATCCCCAGTACCAAAAAAAAAAGAAAAGAAAAAGAAAAAACTCACTTCACTGTCCCCACTGCATTTTCTCCAGAAACTGGACCCTCTGTCCTAGGATGACTCCAGCCATGAAGTCAGGTTTTACCTGATTCCAGGACCTAGAGGGGTAGCCAGCCACAGCAAAGTGGATGTGCTGACATCTCTCAGGAGCTTGGTCTGTAGGCCTCAGACAACCCAGGTGCAAGGTATCCTCACCAAGACCACCCAGCAACCTAGGCTAGCAGCTTACGAACGAAGATGACAAGGCCCTGGCATCATTCCCAGGCCCTCTCATTCAGGTATGCCCCATCATTGCCAAAAAAAGCACTTCACTTCATCCATGCAGGCCAATGGTTCTAAGGATCTCCAGCCCACAAAGCTTAGCCTCCTCACCTCTCAGGTTTGGTTATGGGTTAGAATGGAGTGAGATATAGCAACTGAGGAAAAAATAAGCACAAGAAGGAAGCAAGCCCCCCAAAAATCAAGCTTCACAAAATACACTAGGCAGGTTCTCCTTACATCAAAACACCAGGGCTCATGCCCAGAAGTGAAACCTATACCTGATCCCACCTTCCTTCAAAGAGTACCTACAGGGCAGTGGGCCAGCAGAATGCTGACCCTCCCTTCCAAGACCAGCAACATAAAGGGACTGGCACTATCTCCAGGGTAGGGAGCTGCAGATGTGCTCTAGAAGTCTGTTTTACTAGAGACAGGGTAAACAGGGCTCTGAGTCGGGGTCTCCAGGTCATGACATGCAATGGACAAGAGGAGGTGAGAAGGAACAAAAACAACCCAGCAAAACCCACTTCCCTGCCTCCAGTGTCTGGGTCTTTTTCCTAGCCACAGGATCACAGCCTCACCAGCTCCCAGCACAGCACTCAGCCATGAGGGAAATCCCGAGTGCACGCCGCCAGCCCATCATAGCCACAGGTGCCCAAGCCCTCAGAAGTACAGTGGCATCCCGCCCAGCTTGGAGCTTAAAAGGCCATCAAGCACAACTCTTCCATTTCCCCAAGGAAAATACAGGCCCAAAGAGGCTGGAGTTGTCTGCACTCTTGAACAAATCAGTGGTAGAGCCAGTGGGAGCCCCAGAGACAGCGCAGGCCTCTGTCTCTGTCCAGCGCCAGTTCCACTGCCTGGAGCAACCTCAGCGGCTACACCACTCCGCCTAAACTGCTCAACTTGGCTTTTCCCTAATTCTGCTGTCCTGGCCACTACCAACCTCAAGCCAGCAGAATGGAAAGTGTCACAATGCAGGGTAACAAGCCCTCCATTTCTCCCCAACCCTGGTGCTCTCATCCCAACTACTCCTTCCCTCCTCTATCCCAAATAAAGAGAGTACTTCTTGGGGCTGACAGTTATCTCAAAAGCACATGGTTCATAAGCCAAGGATTTAGTTCAGTGGTTCCACCACCTGCTTCACAAGCACAAGGCCCTGGGTTCAATCCCCAGTACCAAAACAAACAAACAAAAAAAAGGCACATCATTCATTCATGAATTAATATCTTGGTGCCTACTATCTGCCAAGACATGGTTGTGCCAGGTTCTGAAAAGAGATTTTTTTAAAAGTCTTTGGCCTCAAAAAGTACTCAGTACCACACAAGAACCCAAAACACTTGTTTCTCATTGAATTCCCAAGCAGTTTCAACTGGCTCTCTCTCGTCACCTAAAAGGATAACACCCAAGCAAAGATTTAAGAAGCATCCCCCCCCCAAAATAAAAAAGCATAAAATCACCCTGTTGTGCCAGAGCTTTCTCTTCAAGCCCTTCACCCGCCTCCATCCCTTACTTGATACCATCACAGCTCATGTCACACAGACATTAGTGTGACCTCGAAATACAGTATCTAAAGCTTCAAGCGGAATAAGAAACTTCTAGGTATTTAGCTAGTTATCACTGTCTTGCATCAAATGCAAAGATCCAAGATGTGGGGGTTAGCTCCACACGCTGTGACCCAGTTGGCCACAAAGTGACCACTGCAACTTCCAAAGTCAGTTACACTCCTATTCATGGGCCCACTCAAAATAGGACCAAGAGACCAGAAATGTGAGAAAAGGCTTAACAGGGTAAGTCTTTTAACAGGACCCTCATAATTACAGGGCTCTCAAAGAAGGGATGGAGAGCCTAACAAGAGCCAGCTTACCTCCTTGAGAAGCCCCACTTTTTTCTTCAGCATCTCACACTTGCGCAGTTTGCAGATCTGGTGTGTGCGGCGGTTGGTACAGCTGGTGCAAGCCCCACAGTTTTCCAGCCTCTGGCAGGGCTCACAAGCACCACAACGTTTGCGTTTCTTTCGCCCATCTCCACTCCCTCTCAGCTGAGCCTCACTCCCAGTCACAGGAAGTCCAGGTGCCTGGAAGCCCCCTACAATCACCTGGCCCTGAGGGAAGTCATAAAGGCCTGGCAGGTCCGGCTGGACGGCCAGGGGCACCTGAAACTGGCTCATGATGCTGACACTGCCAGAGGGGACAGCATAGGTCCTGTGCAGAACCACAATCCAGTTTCCAGCAGTTTCCTGCTGCCTGCAAAGGCCACCAACAGGTCCTTCTCTCCTAAAACAGTCAAGAACCTACAAGAGTGGAAGGCAAGGATCTCCCGTCTCCAGAATGGACGCCTCTTCACCTCCTCTGCAGCAGTCTGACAGGGCTTCCAGGGCCACTTTCCCACCTGCTGGGGCCCAGGATCTGGGGGAGGACAGCAGCAGCAGCAGCCCTCAAGGAAGGGATCATCTTGGCTGGGTGGGATCTTCACCCTTACCCAGTCGGGACCCGGGCATGAGGTGAGCAGGTGGGTGTGCGGTGGGGCACAGCAGGGTGGAGTCTCCCCCGGGAAGTTGTCCTCCGGGGGTCAGGATGGTGGGGAAGGCAGCGCTGCCTGAAAAATAGAAAGGGGAAGGGCATCACTCCAGGTTCAGGGACAACTTTCATGTGTTAGCTCCTCCTGCTTCTGGGAAAAGAGAAAATGGGGGGAAAGAGGGGCTAGCTAGCTCAAATGAACCTCGGGCAGGACTCAGCGGGAGGTGGACTATGGCACTTTGTGCTGAGGAGGCCTGGACGAATTCAAGGCAGTGGACAAGGTGGGACTTCTGAGAAAGTTGCCCGAGGCCAGCCCCCAAGGGCTTGTGAGTTTCTCCAAAATTTCCTCACACCGCCTCACCGGAGGCCGCAGGGCCCCGCGCCAGGGCGCAGAGCTTTCAGAATAAAGTTTGCAGAGAGCCTCGC